CTTGAATTTTATGTGAGAATTTTAGCTTCTTGGAGGCAAGAAAAAGAAGCACATGTCACCCTCTAGTCTCTGCAAGTTCAAAACTGTTTTATAGAATCATAGAATCGTTAGGGTTGGAAAGGACCTTAAGATCATCTAGTTCCAACTCCCCTGCCGTGGGCAGGGACACCTTACGCTAAATCATATCACCCAAGGCCTCGTCCAACCTGGCCTTGAACACTGCCAGGGATGGAGCATTCACAACCTCCCTGGGCAACTTATTCCAGTGCCTCACCATCCTAACAGGAAAGAATTTCCTTCTTACATCCAACCTAAACTTCCCCTGTTTAAGTTTTAACCCTTTACCCCTTGTCCTATCACTACAGTCCCTAGTGAAGAGTCCCTTCCCAGCATCCCTGTAGCCCCCCTTCAGATACTGGAAGGCTGCTATGAGGTCTCCATGCAGCCTTCTCTTCTCCAGGCTGAACAGCCCTGACTTTCTCAGCCTGTCTTCATACAGGAGGTGCTCCAGTCCCCTGATCATCCTCGTGGCCCTCCTCTGGACTTGTTCCAACAGTTCCATGTCCTTTTTATGTTGAGGACACCAGAACTGCACACAATACTCCAGGTGAGGTCTCACGAGAGCAGAGTAGAGGGGCAGGATCACCTCCTTCGACCTGCTGGTCACGCTCCTTTTGATGCAGCCCAGGTTTTGCACAGAAACTAATTCTGGTGTGGTGGAAAGGTGATGTGTGCTCTCAGGTGTCCTTTACACCAAATGCAGAGCTCAAAAGAGACCTTTGCATGGCCTAGCTTTGGGCATCCAGCTTTAAGCTTTGGGTGTAAGGCTGGACTGGCTGTGGAGAGAGACAGTCACTTCCTTCCAGCACCAAGGGCAGAGTCCTGTGCTGGGTCACTTGACAGCCAGAAACTCCAGCCTGGGAATCGGGCATCCTCCCCAGCAGATAGTAGATATGGAGATGTGAACAAGTTAGTGCCTCCATTACACGGAGAGGTCCTCCTCACCAGCTGGCGTAAACCAGGGCTCACAGTCTTGCCAACAGACTGCTGAATCTCCTTTATGGCTAGCCCTGGCAAGAAAAGCGGTAGGGGAAATGTGACCAGCAGTCTCTTTGCAGAGGCAGGTGAACAGCTTCAGTTACCTCTTACCATCCCCTAAAGCTGTGGCATAGGTCTGGGGACCCTGGAAACCAAACGCACTTCAGCAGTAGCCTGAGGTGAGGTCATAGGCCATCTGAGAAGATAGGAAAGCACTGAGGTGAAACAGCCCATTTCTGCTTCGAAGGAGACTCTCCCTCCTTTGAAATGGACAGAATGCGTCTTCATGTGACCATGTGCCCCTGATTTCATAGGGACTCCTGGATCAGTTCCCATGAAGGCAATGGCATTTCTCTGCTTTCCTTCTCCTGTTCCCTGTGGCCACATCCCTGGCATGTTGCAAAGCCCAGCCCCTGCCCCTCTGTGTGAGAACTCCAATGGGGGAGGAGACAGGAGCCGCAGGAAAAGCATGGTCTTCTGACTCTCTTGGGATGCAGGCTGAACACATCTGACTGACCATGACCCTTTGGACATGATCTTGGCTACATTTACCTGGCCAGTACTTTGCCTTGAGGCATGAAATCATCCCACTCTGAGGGAAGCGTTCTTGCACAAGGACTTGGACTCATGCTGGAACATCCCACCTTGCTTCTGCTATTTTTGGAGACTGTCTAAAATAGTGAAGCATGTGACTCTGGCTGAAATTCAGCAAATCTCGCTAGTCTTCAGAAAATGTGCCTTGGTGCCTATGGGATAATTTTTAATTCACCACATCCAATGACTCAGATGCTTCTCATATCAGGACCAAGAGGTCTTGAATGCAGAGATGAATGTTCTCTTCTGTGTAGCACCTCCCTTCTTCCTCCTCAGCCACCTTCCTTCAGCAAAGGATCTACCATCTCTGTCTCTTGAGGTTTTCTGCTCCACGTTTTCAGCTGTGATTTAATTCACATCCTTCCTCTTAGACCCAGAAAATGAATTTTTCTCTTTCCAGCCCCTCAGTTTCATTGGTGCACAAAGGTTGCACAGAGCCTTGAAAATGATGTGATTTAACTGGGAGTGTTTCACCTGGCCGGATCAGAATTTACCTTTTCTTGACTGCACACAGATCAGTGCCTCAAAATGCAATACTTCATGTAATTTTGATTCTGTCAGTAAAGGCTTCATTGAAAATCTCATCTGGGTTTGTCAGTGATACATTGACTAAAAATGCCAGGTTTAAAGGAGGTTAGGAAAACAAAGGAAGAAAGACTCTAATCTCCCTCTGAAACTAGTCCTTTCAAGAGAGAATGAGAAATTGGGGGAGTAGAAGTCATTTCAGTCCAAGGGAGACAGATATTGTGTATTTCAATAAGCCAACATATTCGTTGTGGATGCTCCACCCCTGGCAGTGCTCAAGGCCAGGCTGCATGCAGCTTTGAGCAACCTGGTTTAGTGGAAGGTGTCCCTGCCCATGGCAGAGGTTTGGAACTGGATGAGCTTTAAGGTCTCTTCCAACCCAAACCATTCCATGATTCTATGATTTCTGGATTAAGCAGTGGTATAATTATTCAGTTTCTAGTAGGTGTTGTTAGGCCACAGTAGGTGTAGCTCAGGCCACAGTCTAAAACCACATCAGTAAAAACTGATCACTTACCTTAAGCTGCAAGTCCCAAACAGTTTAAGCTATGCCAATTGTAAAACAGCTTAGATAATTTCCCCAGTGCAGGCAGGCTTGAAGAATCATAGAGTTATAGAAGAAAAGAGTCTGTTGCATTTCATGTAAGTGAAAAACATATGACATTCAGTTGCTCACCAGAGCCATTACTAAATGAATAATGGATAAAAAATGTCAGTTATCCCCATGCCCTTAACTCAGGCACAAGAAAAACCACCAGTGGTTGAAGGTTTCATTCAGCCTGGTGTGAAACTTCCCAACAGGAGTCCCAGGAAGAAAAAGGTATTTGCCACTGCTTTATATGTAGATTACTTTCCCCATGACCACTCACTCCACTGTAAATTTCTTCTGCTCTGTGGATTTATACACTAAGAATATGAAATGGGGAAGGAATATAAACTCTCACTTTGTAGTATCGCTGGCTTGCACATTGCAGCTCAGCAGTCATGGACAGCATCCAGCATTAACACTCAAAGGGAGCTGCCACATTTATGACTTCTCCAGCCTCACAAGAGCAGGGAAGGCTGGCGAACAGTGACTGAAGCACAGCTGAATGAAACGCATAATATAAAGAAGGCAAAAGTCAAATATGTTTTGAATCTGAATTCCTAAAAAATGCAGTTTATGCAGCCCTGGGTGAGGGGGTGTGTGTGGCAGGTTGCTCCTTCCACAAGCCCCACACCAGAGTTCGGTCCTGCTGACCTGCTGATGATAACTTTTGGCAGAAGGTTTAGCAGCCTTTGAGGAAATTCAGTTTGTCCATGCTGGATGGAAACAGATGCTTATGCCTCACAGGTGGAAAGGCTAATAAACTCACCCCTTGTTAGGCATCAGATTATGAAGAGAGGGCAGAGGCTTTTGAAAATTACCCACTTGTTCTGCAGCCAACAGAAGTTCCCCTCCATGGCTTAAACTCAGTATGGCCAGGATGAAAAATATTTCTGCATGTATTTAAGATGCGTTTGCCAGGTTCTTCATTAAAAAAAAAACCAAAACATTTCTGATGTGCAGGTCACCTGGGAAGAGGTGACTACAGTCAGAGTCTGATTCTGCCACCCACTGGCTTCTGTGAAACTATTGCAGATGCAGATGCTTGTCCGTGGGAGCAAGGCTGCCATCACCCAGCCCAGGCTTTGCTAAGGTCATTATACATCACATGGGGTAATAGTTTCTTCTCTGACCAGATAATGCAGGCAGCACTTGGTGTGCACTGCTTCTTCTGAATTACAGCAGTTCCTGTGCAATGTGAAGTGGGTACTTGACTCTAAAGTATCTGTTCTTTCATTTGTGGTGGTGAAGTTCAGGCTCCTCAGTAAGTGGAGAAAGTGTAAGTGCTGAATCTACAAAGTGGACAAACAGCATTGGAAAGATTTTCTAAGCCATGCTCTGCCACATAGTGAAAGAAGTTTGAATTTTGGGTTGGCCATATTGGATTTTGGGAGGGGGAGAAGCTCTCCAAGATCTACATTTAGAAGAATGTTTTGCAAGATCTGTGATTTTACACATATCCAAATGGCACTGCTTCCATTAAGATCCCCAGATATACTGATTTCCACAGCTGGCAAAGAAATTCATAATAATGGATGCAATGACATCAAAGACAGTCAATTACCTGTGTTTATAACTAATGTGTTTATGTTGCAGGAGTGGTAAGTGGACATTCACTGCTTCTTATTGCAAAGGATTGCAGTGCTTAGTTTTTTGCCTCCATGTTCATAAGATAGCAAGAGGGGACGATTTTCAAAACAGTGGCTAATATCAAATGCCTTCATCCAGAGAAGGGTGTGAGCACACTGTCTGATGTTCAGAGGTGAAAAAGCACCAGCAGCATTCATTTCATCACTTTGAAAATCAGATCACTAGCTCTACGGCTGCTGTGATTGATGTCAGCACTTGCTTCAGAAATGTCCATGCTCACACCTCTGAAGAATATCCAGAACAGAAGTCCAGGACTATGAAAGAAGTTTTGGCCTACAGTGCATCTGAACAAAGCAAAGCTCGCACTGGAGTACTGACTATTTCAGGTCTGTGGGATGGAAGCAAGCCCTCTCTCCCCACACGTGGTATCAGCCTCCCCACAAAAAACCTCCCAAACAGTAAAAACTTTTGACTTGATTGCAACCACTAAAGTGAGATCAAATGTATAACTAGTGCGTAAACTGAGATCCCTCTGACTCTGAAGAGAGCCTGAAGCAGTGATTACATGAACTTTCAACTTCAGCTCATTCAGGGCTGTGGGCTCTCAGTTGTGAAGCTGTGTTTTTTAAAGGGTATTTTTTTCTCTCTCTGTCTTTTTTTCTTTTAGCTACAGGGTTCATTATTTTGCAGAGGATGGGTCTTTCTGCCCTACAGGGATCTATCTATCACTGCTGACTCTCTGCATCTTCTCCACAGGGAAGAAGTAATTGGATTGTACTTTCTGCACGTGATGAGAGCTGTAGGCTGGAGAACTAAGCTGTCAAGAGGGTAGGAAACCATATGATGCCTAAGAAAACTAAATGTGTGAGTGTAACTGCAAGACCTTTCCTTTCTTTCCATAGAAGAGCTGGAACATGCTGAACTGCACTCACCAAACTGCACTAGAACTTTGGGAAGGTCCGTGAAGCTTTAAGGAAGCAGAGAAAAACATAACCACCCAAATAATCCCAGGGGCATTAAATGTCTGTGAATATATAACACAATAAGCCATACTATGAATGTGAACAGCTAGGGACATTTCTTAAAAATAAAGAAGCATTACTGCAAACTGTAATGGTGTTTTCGTAATGTTAGAGCCTCCACGTGCTATCACATAGCTGGGGTATTTGATAATGTAGGAGCAACTGCAACCCTTCAAAAAAGCAATTATTTCATATATATCCAGATAGGGTCATATTTATTGCTATTCTGTTACCGAATGCCATGCTGTAACCTTAAGCATTGTGCTGTTTCTCTATTGTTAAAGACACCAGAATCCTGACATCATAACGTTCCTTGGAGTGATCTGGGGAAAGTGACAATATTGCCAAGACTTTATGCTCTAAGTCTTCAAGCACTTGGCTGATTTATACTTTTCCTTCAAACAAATGCCTGCTTGCCACTGTCAGCCCTGCACTCCTCATCCCCACCTCCACCCCCTTAGATCCAAGCTTAAAAAAGAAGCCGTTTGGAGCCTGATGTGTTTCTTGTAGCTATGTTAGAGAAACTACTATTCTGGGAGCAGTCATGCTATTCCAAACAGCTTCTCCAGCTGTAGCATCATACATGGTTTTCATCTCAGCCATAAGAGCTTTCACTGGTCTCCTACCAAGCCCCACCAGCCAAAACTCAAGTGCTGGCTGATCGTCTGCAGGGCCTAAGGAACATATGTGTCCATGTGTGAGTGTGTGCACATGGGTGTATGCATACACACTCATTTATTCATGTGAAGGAGAGGTTTCATGGTCAGCTTGGATACTACCCCAACCCTGTTACAGCAAGATTCATCCTGTTGGTCTGACTTAGACCAGTGGCTGGCTTGTTCTAATGTGCAGCACTGACATGGATATGCAGACCTGAACAAACCACTGATGAAAGGCATATCAATGGGATGTGTTGCTTTGCTCTGGACAAGCCATCATTTCCCTCTGCCCCTGCAGTGGAGGCAGTGGAAGGTGGTACATGCCCATATGAAGGTCTGTGCCTTGGGAGAGCCCCCACCTAGGCTGTGCCATGTTAGATAAACATGAGGACTGCTTAGCACGACTGTGCTACACCAGAATGGCACCCCAAAACTTGTGCTCAGCAGCAGGGTTTCTTATGCAGGCTGATTCTTGCATTTCTCCTCAATAAATATTTGCATCAACCTTGACTGGAATAAAAGCACTGACACACAGGGAAAACTGTTTGCTATTATTTTCTAGTTATAAAAAAAAAAAACAAATCTGCAAGATGAACCCAATTCTCCTACTGCAAAGATTATTTGTTACATGAAACAGCTAGAGCAGAATGGCTGAAAGAAGCCGTTCCTGAAATTTACGAGGAAAAAGATTGTTCTTTACAGCCGCAAAACACCCCATTGTCCCACTCAGTGCATTAACATTCACAGTAAAAAATGGCAGTTGCAAAAATGTGGCAGAGTAGGATCAAATCAGTATTTCTTAAATGGTTTTGGAGTGTGCAAACTGATGTTTTGGGATAATAACAGAGATAGTGCAATGTTCTGAGTTGTCAGAGTTTCTGAGGGGTTAGATTCTAAGGTCTACCTCACTTAATGCCTTCCAAACTCCAGCTGAATGGAAGATGTTCCAACAGGAGAGCTCAGGGTGTTGTACTTACAAGTTGGACGAGTTATATTTTATTTCCTTTTTTATTTTTAAGCAAACCCATAATTTAATAGGTGCTGTGATGGAAAAGTAAAATTATGCAGTGCCATACACTAATCTGCTGCAGATACAGTATGAGTTGGTGCATATGTGCATGCCTGTATTTGTGTTGTAATTTAAAACATAACGTCATCCCAAGCTAAAACGGTTTAGAGACTTTCTCTGAGAGAAAATCTTTTCACTTCAGAAAGAGAACCCAGGGTAATGAACGTCATTGTGGCAGCCAGAAACAACACTTAAACCTTTACCAGCAAGAGATAGCAAAGAAGTTAAATAGATCTCCCTACCTTCCATCCCAAACATCACTGCACCAAGACCAGCCTCTCTTTCTCTGCTGACAACTACACGGTGTTTCTTGTCCCCACCAGCATATACAGCATGCTTGCTTTGAGACCACCCTCTCCATCTCCATGTGTCTGAGCTGCAGTAGGTTTGGATTAACAGGAACGGGATTTTGCATGGGCCGTGGTGCTGTGAGATGCAGCAAAAACAAAGAAACACAGACCTTTAGCTCGTGAGAAGCTGCAGACACCAGGATTTCAGTATGCAGTATGGCTGAGGCTAAACTTGGTATCATAACAAAATGTGGGTCTAAATAAAAACTGTCTTAAACTCCCAGGAGGTTTGCTTCTTCTATGCAATGACAGTTGTTAGAGAGTAGCTCTCCTACAGAAACAACCGTGCCAAATATAACATACTGGAGTAAAAGCAAGACTGGAACCCTGGAAGTAAACTAAAGATATTTTCCTTGCTCTCTGAATGCAACCCCGTTTCTGCAAGAGGTCACAGATGTCACATCTGAAGGTAGCTAGCCCTCTAGCTGTGTGATTCCCTCAATTACTAATACAACATAGCCAATCTTAGTCTTTCTTGAGGCCATGGTCTGAGTTGGGAGACTCCTTTATGCACCAGACCCAGAGAAGCTGGTGAGCAACTTTTTCTCCTGGTTGACTGCCAACTGCTTTGAAGGGAGGCCATTGGGAGATCCTTTGTATGTCACTTTTTCTGCTGGTCTGCTATTGATCAGTCGCATAGCTAGCCTTGATTTAGATGCAGGCAGCAAGATGCAACTAAGGAAAGGAAGAAACTAAATGCAGATGTTTGCCCACTTTGCCACATTGATGTATTTTCTGACAATTTCTGTGCTGCCTCTCTCCTCCTGCTCTGCAGAAGGTGGTGTATGGGTCCCTCATGCAGCCTCTGGGACCTGCAGGAATTTTGCAGGCATGTACAAGCTGCAGGACCTGGAAGACAGAAAAGTGATGACCTTGCCTGGAAACTTAGATACACCAAAGGCAAAGCTTCCCCTTTCCTCAGAAGGCCTGGATTGCCAAGCATCAACAGCACTTGCAAGAGAGCTTCTAAGAAGATTCATTCCTTGACCTTTTTATTCCACAAAGGCTTCCTCCTCTGCATCTTCTTTCTGATTATTTGTTTTAATGTTGTGGTGTTTGTAGCTGCTCGAGCTTCAGCGCACAGAGGACAACTCCACAAAGCCCCTTGTATGTAAGTTCAAGACCCAAGCTAGAAATGGTTTTGCCTGAAACCAGGCCGGCTTTCCCCTGCCTCATCCATAGCCCTTTCAGCTACCCTGAGGAGCCATATTGTGGGAAAATGCTGCAACAAGACGAGCCTGGTGTGGCTTTTTGGCCAGTCAGATGGAAACACAGCCACACTGCTAAGTGCTGCTGCTGGGCTGCGTGAGGGATGAGATGTTCGAGCACTTTTGTGTCCCCACAGTATGTTACCACACTGCAAAACGGGGGTCTCACTTGCTATGGGGCCAGGACAGAAACTGCAGCCTGAGTGAGAAATACCTTCCTTAATGATGCCTGCTATAAAATTCCCCTATGTGTGCCAGTGGGAGTTTTGCCTAAATGAAAACTAGACTTTGGACTGCTACAAAATGGGAGATGTCCTAGGGGAGTTTGCATGTCTCTAAGTGGTGGCTGGGCAGCTCATGTAGCCTGTGGCTGCCAGTGCTGTGGAGCTCGCTTGATACTTAAAACATAATCAACAGTCTAGGCTATAAGCCTGCACCATTTAATTTTAAAATTAAAGTCATTTTCTGAGTAATAGGAGCACATTTGTGCTTGGAAAACATGGAGCACTTAGCATCTTTTTGATTTCAGTGCTAGAAGAAAGAAGGGGGCACAGCGCCAGGAAATATTTTTTCTTGGCTGAACTCTTGTAGACCAAATTTTAGTCCAGAGTGGGGTTTTTATTGTGACTCAGTGGTAAATTTCTGAACAAAAAGCTTAATGATGTAGAGGCAATACTATAAAACGCATTTAACTCTAGCTGTGCTGGTGTTTTTGATAACTCTTGGCACCAATTCTTTCCTCTCACAGCAGCGTGAGAACACTTATAAGTAAGTGGATTGAAACCTTCCTTGGGGATTTCTGTAACAAAGTAAAAATTTAAGTGCTTTGTAATCTCTGTGGGAAGACTTAGTATCAGGTAGACTAGATAATTTGAATTACTTAGAGGAATCATGCTTTTGAAATCTTTACTTCATTCTTGCGAAAACTAGTTTGCAGCAAAATTACCTTCCAAAAGCTTCTTTACATGCTCCCCTAATGAAGTTCCAATTTACATGTAGTTTGTAGATATGACTTCTCTTTGCTAATGTAGTTTTCTTCCATTTATTCAAGGCAGACTTCTGGTTTAAGGGGAAATATTATGTAGTGTGGATAGCTGTTTTTGGAGGAATTACTGCAAATATCTCATTTGTAGTGCTTATGTTCTTCCACTCAGAAATCCCACACCTCACTCCTCCATGGAGGAGAGGATATTGTGTTTGAGTTATTACAAAGCCTAAAGCATTCTTAACATTGACTACAACTAGCGACATATATTTTATATGCCTTCTCATTTTGGAAATGTTATGACCCTTCAACATGGGAGAGGTGCTTCCTACTTCAAAATCTATTTAACCTCTATTTTTTCCCCACAAAGGTCTGGGCCTGTGCTCTCTCATCAGCATGCCCATTAATGTCACTAAGAAAGTGAGGAGGATGAGACCTCCAGTGCCTAACAGCAAAAGCATGGTAGTGCAAGGGTCGAAACCAAAAGTGACCAGAGTTCAGACAATGAGTGAGCAGGGAAGCTGCTGAGGTCTCCACGTAGGTGTCTGACACCAGTACCACCAAGGTGGATGTAAAACTGTCTCACAGCTCAGCCTCTTCTCCCCAGTCCCTGAGGATGCAGCTTCCACCACAGCGCATCTCATCTTTGCTTCTCCAGGTAAGGCTGGGATATTAGTATGAGAGTTGTGTAATTTTTGTTTTCTTTTGACATACAGTAACTTTGTTATTTTTTCCATTCTGGTTTGGGTCCTTTTGTTTTGGTTTGGTTTGGGTTTGTTTTGTCATGACAGCAAATATTTATGATGCAACTTATT